TTCAACTCCCAGAATTCCTCCTCCAGTCATGTTAGCTCAGGAATTCTGGGAGTTGAAGTCCAGAAGTCTCAAACTTGCCAAGTTGGAAGACCCTTGCTCTAAATAAACGAGAGAAGCAATAAGGGGTGTCTAGCTAGAAGATGGTGATTTTTGGGGTAGAGTTCTTTCGGTGCCTCTAACTTTCATAAGCCAGGTTTCCTCATCCCCGTGTTATCTTAGGCCTGCAAGGCTGTTCCAATCCCATAACCAGAGAGACAGAAAGAATTTAAAAAAAAAATGTAGATACACTTAAAACAGTTCACTCAGGGTTACATTGAAAGTGATTTAGGGCCGTGTTTCAGACTTCTGACCGTTTGTAGCATCCTCATGGTCACACGATCAAAAATTCAGCCGCTCGGTGACTGACTCAGAGTTATAACGGTTGCAGCAACCCGGGGAGGGGGGAGCGTGATTTTCCCTCCTTTGCCGACTTTCTGACAAGCCAAGTCAATGGGGAAGCCAGATTCACTTAACAAAGGGGTTACTAATTGAACAACCGCAGGGATTCCCTTAACCAAGGGGGCAAGGAAAGTCGTCAAAGGGCCCCCCGAACTTGCTGCGCAAATTTCTTGCTTCGCAAAACATTGATTGCGGTTGTAAAGTGAGGACTACCTTGTATTTGATTCCCGGCTGTCTTGACGATGAGAAGTCTCTGCAGAGCCTCCATCTTAACTTTCCCTTCTTCTTTTCTCTGCAGCGATTCCGAAGCCTGGTGCCTGAAGCAGCAACTCTCCGCTGAAGGATCCCAAGGCCCATACGCTCTTGAAAGCACCACCACCTTTCTGGAAAGCCTTCTGTCTCCCGGACAACTGTCCAGCCCTGATCAAGTCTTCACACCGGGTGCCGGCACTCCCACCGCCACGCTCGCGGCCCCGACCTTCGATTTCAGCACCGCCGGGGTCCCTGAAGGCCCGTCGGCGTTTGGCGAGCCTCCGGAAGGCCTGCCTGAAGAGATGATGGAACCTGGGAATATCTCCTCCATCGAGGATGCCCCGCCAGGTTCTTCTCTCAGCCTGCTCGTCAAAGAACCGGGCTTCGGGTACGTCGTCCTTCCGCAAGGAGGTTACGGACAGGCGTTTGCGAGCGAGAATCCCCCCGGCGGCAAACCTGCGTCGAAAGATTTGATCTGCACCCCTCCTTATACCCCACACCAGAGTTCAGCTTTCCTCTTCGGAGCTCCGGAGGTTTACGGAGGTGGCCCCATGGCCTTGCCTCCGGGCACGGCGTCCAGCGCCAACTCTCCCGCTGGCCTGGCTGCCGTGACCGAGCTGTTCTACGCCCAAGAACCCTGCAATGTTCTCTATGAGAAACTTCCCCCGACTCCAGACAGCCCCGGTAACAGGGGCTGTGTCGTCATGAGCTTGCCGGAGATCCGAGGTCCCCTCTACGTGGATGTGCCTATGGTACCCGAGGGGATCTTGACGCCGGAGGCCTCGCCCATCAAGCAAACCTTCTTCCGCTACTCTGAGAAGGAGAAGAACGAGATCGAACAGCTGGCACAGCAGATCTGTAGCCTGGCCGAGACTTTCGGCTCCACCGCTTCCCGAGGACGTGCCGAGGACGGCCGGGGGGCTCTCCGAGAGGAGGACCCACCGGTGCCCGGCCCCGGACTGTTTCCTGTGCCGGAACCTCGGCCGGATTTCCAGCGGCCCAAAACCTGGAGGAGTGTTGACTTCTCTCTCTTGACCTGCCTGGAGGAGGACCTCCTGGTGGACGAGAACGCTCTCGAGACCCTCCTGCAAGACCTGTCGTCCTTTCTGTTCGAGAAAGGTGGGGCAGGGATGAGGTGCCCTCACCACCAGTTCTGCGGTGGCGACGTCAGTAGTCCAATCGGCTTGGACACCGAAGATAGTAGCCCCGGAGCTTTTGCTCTTTCGCCAAGGATGGACTTGGCTCCAGAAGAGCCATGTTTTTTGGAGGACCTGACCTCCTTCGAAACAGCCTTTGAGACACGTGCCTCAAACTCACCCTGTGAGGGGTTAGATGAGTTGTATCAACTCCAGAGCCAAAGGCCGGACGGCTTCCAGGAAGGTAAGCGGGGTGCTGGGGGGTGGCAGGCAGCAAATTTGGGGAGGCAGGGGGGGGGAGGGGTCAGGGGAGCAAGAGTAAGGGGTGTCCTAAAGGTGTTTTTCAAAAGGCAATTGGAGTTTCTTGATTCTTTCTTTCTTTCTTTCCTTTCTTTTTCTTTCTTTCTATTTTCCTTTTTTCTTTCCCTTCTTTTTCTTGCTTCCTTTTCTTTTCTCTTCCTTCCTTCCCTTTTCCTTCCCTCTTTCTTTTCTTTATCTTCTTTTCCTTCCTTCCTCATTTCCTTCCTTTCCTTTTTTCTTCCTTCTTTTTGTTTTCTTTCTTCTTTTTTCTTCTCTCCTTTTCTTCTTTCTTTTTCTTCTCTATCTTCCTTCCCTTCTTTTTCTTCCTTCCTTTTCTCTTCCTTTCTTCCCTTCCCTTCTTTCTTTTCTTTCTTTCTTTCTTTTTCTTTCTTTCTTTCTTTCTTTTCTTTCTCCCTTTCCTTCCTTTCTCCCTTTCCTTCCTTTCTTCGTTTCTTCATTTCTTTCTTTCCTCCCTTTCCTTTCCTTTTCTTTCTTTCTTTCCTTTCTTTCTTTCTTTCTTTCTTTCTTTCTTTCTTTCTTCTTTCTTTCTTTCTTTCTTCTTTCTTTCTCTTTCTCCCTTTCCTCTTTCTTTCTTTCTCCCTTTCCTTCCTTTCTTCGTTTCTTCATTTCTTTCTTTCCTCCCTTTCCTCCCTTTCCTTTTCTTTTCTTTCTTTCTTTCTTTCTTTCTTTCTTTCTTTCTTTCTTTCTTTCTTTCTTTCTTTCTTTCTTTCTTTCTTTCTCTTTCTTTCTTTCTTTCTTTCTTTCTTTCTTTCTTTCTTTCTTTCTCTTTCTCCCTTTCCTCTTTCTTTCTTTCTCCCTTTCCTCTTTCTTTCTTTCTTTCTTTCTTTCTTTCTTTGTTTTTCTTTCTCCCTTTCCTTCCTTTCTTCCCTTCCCTTTTCTTTCTTTTTTTCTTTTTCTTTCCTTCCTTCCTTCTTTTCTTTCTTTCTTCCTTTCCTCTCTCTCTCTTTCTTTCTCTTTCTCCCTTTCCTTCCTTTCTTCCCTTCCCTTTTCTTTCTTTTTTTCTTTTTCTTTCCTTC